GAGGAATCTTCGTAAACACGAACGAAAAATCCAAATGTTAAAAGTAGATTGGCCTAATGAGATAATGAAACCAGAATTGTGCAGATTATATTATATATATCACTATTTATGTATATAGGTCATATAATAAACTATATTACACTCATTGCTGGTAATTGTTGTGTATATCGCTGGTTCTGGCCGGAAGGGCGTGGCTACAAGGTCACACGCACACCGCATAACTTCCACTTGTACGGAAGATGTCAACACTACGTATTGCCCGACGAACTATTTTTTTAGATTGGTTAATGTGGGCCACGATTTCGACCAACAAAGGAACGGCTCTCCTTTGTCGGATGACCGATCAGTCGATTTTCTAATCGTGTATTCCCACCTTTAGACTTGGGGAAGATAAAAGCAGAAAAATGATTCAGTAATTAATGCTGCAGTGCAGTAAGCATGCTACTAGGAGGAGAGAGCTGAGTGATAGAGGGATGAGCTCATCAGTCTGCTGCTTCTCTTTCATTGCCAGTGCTAGTGGGGGAGAAACAAAGCAGGAAAGTCATACTGAGCTGCAACAGAAAAAAAAAAGACTTCTGCCCTACCATACAGGGCCCTGCTGTGTGGCAGAACTTTGCAAATCCCAGGACTAGGTAGATGGAGATACAAATCGTTTGTCTGGAGTTCAGCTTTAAAAAAAAAAAAATACAAACTTAAATACAACGTAAATGATAACAGTGCAATTTTGTATATTTTTGGATAATAACCACTATATGTGTTACGGAAAAAAAAATACATTTCCTAATCCTAAATACTGCATGCCATAGAGGCAGCCATAATAAAGATTATTGTATATATTTGGCCTACTGGCTTCAATGGGAACTAGTGATACTGTATTTACAAAAGGCCTAATGAGATGAGTTATCTGTGTTACTCAGTCAGTCCACAAAATGGCTGCCTCTTTTGGGTTACAGGTACAAATAAATATGATCTTTTCCTGAAATTAAAGTATAACTAAAGGCAAGACTTTTTTTTTTTTTAGTTTTGTAAAGAGTGAAGATGAATTAGAACACCTGTTTGTTAGTGCTGTCTGTGTCTCTGTTAGGGAGATTCTAACTCTCTATGTGTCCTGTTTACTGTTATCATCAAAAGTTAAAGAATCCCCTAAATTTAGTTTTTTTTTCCCCATAAAAGTAATAGCAGGGAAATATTAAAATAAGGACACTAGTTCTGGAGATCTGGGGGCCCCCAAGGAATTCCCTCAATTTGCAGGGATTTTCTCTCAGTTCCTGTTTTGGCTATGGGATAGGAAGTGAAGGCAAATCTCTGAAAAGGGACACAAATGCACAGATGGCAAAAAAATAAACTGACAGGGGTTTTAACCCTACCTTATTCCATCCAAAATGAAAAAAAAGTTTTGTCTTGAGTTCTACTTTTAAAAACCCAAATCTTTGGTGGAGCAGAAAGTGTCATATTGTCTGTGTAATTAAACTTTACCATTATAGCACCAGTCACCTAAACGTATGTAGCGATCTTATCACAATGAATACCTGTGCTTTACCACTAAAGCATTTTATGTTTTGGGTGGAGATTTCTTTTACATCAAGAAAACATGGCCCAATAAAATGAGCAACAGATATGCTGCTTGAGAATAACTGACATTATCGGAACCACCACCATATGGCCGCCCAGATTTACTTTCTTCAAATTTTTCCACATCTAAGTTTGAGTGTACCTTGTGTTGGGCTGAAGGCTGTAGGAGACTGAATTATAGGAAAAGTGGACACCCATCATTTCTCCTCTATCTTCAGATGGCAGCAGCTATTTAATTTTATTAAGCTGTGCCAAAACTAGTAAACACTCTACTAGGAGTTGTAAACTGATCAGTTACTTTAAGCAGCACCTACTTCTCAGGCTGTCTTCACACATGTGCATTGCAGCACAGAGGCTAAATGGTTAGCACTTTTGCCTGGCAGTACTAGGGTTCTTGGTTCGAATCCCAACTACAGCACCACCTGCGTGGAGTTTGCATGTTGTCCCTGTGCCTGCGTGGATTTCCTCCAGTTTCCTCCCACACTCCAAAGACATGCTGGTAGGTTAATTGGCTCCTATCTAAATTGTCCCTAGTATGTGTATATATGAATGGGAGTTAGGGACCTTACATTGCAAGCTCATTGAGAGTTAGGGACTTATATGAATGTAAAATACAGTATATATGTAAAAGCACTGTGTAAATTGATGGCACTATATAAGTACCTGAAATAAATAAATTGCAATAACACATAGTAAAATGCTTGTTTTACCATTTATTACTGCAAGCTTGGTAATGTAAATGTACCATGTGGGTTTAATGGCCATCATCATTTTGAATAGAGAAACTATTGTTTAGTGATGCCTGTGACCCTGCTTTTGAGATTTCCCCTTTTTTCTTGTCCCACAGATATATCAGTAAATATAAGTAAACCTCCCAAAAATTAAAAGAAATCTGGAATAGGTGTCTCCCCTTTAAATCAAATTCTGTCCTTGTGAAAATAAACAGGTCACAAAGTAAGAGATTGTGCATAGGTAGCAATAGAGACCTGTCCCTTTCCCAACTCTCCCCAAAGCTGGAAAAATCATTTTAGATTGAGTCCAACCCTAAATCCAACTTTACACTATGAAGCAAGGTCCAGGGATATATTCATGCTTCTCCCGCCACGCCAAAGTGCTGCAAAAAGAAAAGAAGAGCTCGGGCGGGGGGATAAATGACTAGTAAATATACTTATCTTACCTCTGACTTCTGCCTATATCCTTCTAGTGAAACCCAAGGAATGCTGAGTACTGAAAATCTCATGTCGAGAAGCTCCAGCACAAAGACGGAGGATATTCTTGCAAGCTTTCTGGTACTCAGCATTCCCTGAGGATCCCTTGGAAGGAAGGCTAGTGACATCACCCTCACCTAGGCACTACAGATAGTATGGGGGTAAGATAGGTATGCTTGCTATTTTTTTCCCAAAAACATTTTTCATTTTATTCCAGCATCTTGGCAGGGGGGGAAGGGAATGATGAAGTATACTTTTCTTTTTAAGTGCAAGGTCTGCTTTACAATATGTAGCAAAGGTGCAACAATGATATTGTACATTAACATGGTAATCAGTTGTGTAAGGTGCAGGGGCGGAATGACCATTTGGAAACTCGGGCACTATCCGAGGGCCTGGAGTCAGTAGAGGGCCCCATGAGATGCCCCTGGTACCTTTTTCATAAGGCTTTTTTGAGTTTGGGCAAGGACACAGGGGCCCCATGATCCCCTATTGCCCAGGGGCCCCATGAGTTGTCAGTCCGCCCCTGGTAAGGAGTAATGTTCAGATAGGTTGGCATAACATATTATAGAGGGCTGTGTTGCATATGAACACCTTTTCACTACATGGAAGGACACTAACAAATACATTTTCACTTCTGCATCAGATTAATGTAACAAAAACATAGGTTTCTGGACATCTGACAACCCCAAGAAGAGGGCTTATTTGGTAACACAGTGCAAAGTACAGTGGTGTCTAGTCAAGTATCACATCCTGGATTGACTAATGTATGTTTCTGATTGTTTTTATAGGGTTACTGATCACCTCTGCCTTTTGCCTCATATTAATAAATAAGCCCCAATACATTTCCTTCTCTAATTCTTCTTTCTTGGGTTGGTGTTCACAACTCATCTTTGGGATGTAGAGGCTCTGGCAGCTGTGGCTGTTCCACTTGTGGCTCCAGTCCATATTGCTTTCGTAACCTTTTTCGTAGTTTTGACTTCCTCTCTTTTTCCTGCCTTTCCAGTTCATCAAGCATTTTAAACTCTTCTTCAAGCTTCTTCCATCTCTGCTTCTTTTCATCCTTGGAATCCCTCTCTTCATCTTGTATTGTCTTCATCTTCAGCTCGGGCTCCTGAAAGGGATTAAAGTTCAGTTGAAGTCATAAAGTAGATATTCACTCGTATAGACATTGTATTTTTTCATAATCTTACCTAGTATGACTGTGCAGTCCGATTGACAATAGATATCACCTACTACATTTAGGCTTTCTTTCAGTAAGCAGCCTGAACAAGAAAAATCAGTAGATTTCACGCTAAACAGCATTGATGGAGGAATCTCCCCTACCCCATGACTGTCAAAATACCTGATTAGCAACTGCATCTGAATGGATGCAGTTACTGCGTGGGTAATAATAATATTCCGCACAGCTGCTTTGATTTTTCAGGTGAAGTTTTTGTGGTACTGTCACTTTGGAACGCAACAGGGATGCAGGCGTCAGGAGGAAAAACCACAATGCTTTGTGGGGACATTCTGAACTCCCTAATGTGTTTGAAGAGGTGAGTATTCAAAGTTTTTTTTACAGGAAACTCATCTTAAGAATTCTAAGAGAAAGTCACAAAGTTTTTTTTTTGTCAAATGTCCTTCATCTGCTAAATCTAACCATCCCTACTATTATGTGTATCTATCCAAATTAGGTGATTAGAGGAACTGTCCACACTTGGGTACACTGGATTATGACAATGGTCACCCACCTCTGCCAGAATACACTGATCTGCCGCTGCAGTTGATTGGCTTCAGCATGTCCAGAATATTTCAAAATGTCCCTTCAACTGAAACTGAATAAACAATCTACCTCTGTCAAGCAGGGAAGCCCACACATTGCTCAAAATGTGGCCAGTTCCTGCTGGACTGACTACGTTTTGATCATTGTTTGACCAGTTTAGGTTTCACTCCCAATTTTGAATATGGCTGTCTTATAGGGGTTAGGTTGTGAAAGGTGTCTGAGAAATGAGCCTTTCATATTTAACGCTTCCACAGCCTATGCTTCCTGGATTATCATAGTCCAAGGCAAAATACAGAAGAGCAAAACTCTAGAGAAGACCTTCATAAGAACCAGTCATGACCAAGTTTCACATAATATGAATCTCCATTCTACTGTATTTATTATATTGCACAAGCCATGTGTATAAACACAAACTGATCAAAATGTATCTTTTATTCTGGGTTGTCTGACAATATTTGTTATCTGATTGGCTGTTGCAGGTGACAACAGTTTTTTTTTGCACGTAAATATAAGAGCATGACTTCATGGTTCCTTACCCTGGTTATACCCCACGTCTCGTTTCCAATTTTCTCTGCTAAAATTTCATCATTTGTGATGAGGAAGTTGTCAAAAATTGTGCCTGATTTCACCTAAAGAAACAAATTAATGTAGTTAGTTAAAGAGGAATTTAACGTAGTTGTAAAGGCTGAAAGTTTTTTTATCTTCATGCATTCATGCTACTCCACTATATTCATTCTATCACATCCAGTGAGCCAATGAGGAGAGAGCAGGGGGCAGGGCCGAGTGGCAGCTCTATGTGTCTTATGGAGGGAAAAAAGTGGGGCTTTGGAGAGAGCATGCACCAGTGCCCTCATAGCAAGAAGCTTGCTATTGGGGCACTGATTAAGGGGGAGGAGCCAGGACCACCGGAGGAGGACCTTAGAAGGGGAAGATCAGGGCTGCTCTGTGCAAAACCAATGCACAGAGCAGGTAAGTATGACATGTTTGTTATTAAAAAAAGAAAAAAAAACAAACCCTTATAATCACTTTAACATGCTTGTTTTATACTATGACAGTAAGACTGATTTATGGAAATTACAGAACAATGGAGCTGCTACCCATCTAAAATAGTGAGTTAATGAGTATTTTCATAGAGAAGGTTTTCATGTGGAAAATGATTCCCAATATATCTCATGATCAACACCCCATGTACCACATACTGTATGATCATTGCAACAGATGATATAAGAGGGACAGGCTAAACTGGTAGTGACAATGGTAAACCATGCACAAGACAGGTACACTTAATCCAAGCAGGCTTGTCCTGCACTTTTATTCAGCAACTTGTTAATTTTTGCTTACAGTTCACACCACACTCCATGAGGGTTCAGTTTTGATGCAGTTTGCTATGTTCCAGTACAGTTCTGTGCAGAAAAAATGCAGCATGTTCTACTTTTTTTTCTGCTGGACTGGAATTGACTGCACTAGTGTGAACTAGGGTCATTGGAATACATGGAAAACACTGTGCATGCATTTTTGATGCAAAAAAAACGCTCTGGACTTCATCAAATGTGAACTAGCCCTTACACTAGATTCACAACTGTGTGGGGGATTGTCGCTGCGAGAGCACACCTGTTCCCGCAGTTGTCACCACCCGCACAGAAAAATGCAGGAGATGTGTCCGGTGCCATTAATCCTAATTACACGGTGCATGCATTGGAAATAGTTCCCTCCAGGGGCGGACTGACAACTCATGGGGCCCCCGGGCAATAGGAAATAATGGGGCCCCTGTGTCCTCTCCCACACTCAAACCACACCCAAAAAAGCCTATGAAAGGTACCAGGGGCATCTCATGGGGCCCCCTACTGACCCCGGGCCCTCGAGCAGTGCCCGAGTGACTAAATGGTCAGTCCGCCCCTGGTTCCCTCACTGGGGACCGCACTGCACTTGCAGTTCCTGTGTAGGCTGCATCTTCTAAAATGATGCAGGGCCTTTTCCCTGCCTTTCAGGAGGCAAGGCAGCCCATTCATTTGAATAAGCTTCCATTACCGCACAAATCGCAGCTCGAAATTCAAATCCAAAACATGTGCTGGCTCAAGCCACTAACTAAATCCTCCCCCAAACAAATAGGCAGTACATGTATCTGTTTAGTATTTTGTCATTTTCATGCAGCAGAGGGCTTCCATAGCAGTGGGAATGAAAGAGAGACATGAGCATTAAGCCCCTTTCACACATGCATTCCGTATGTCCATTTTTCATCTGTCCTTTTATGGATAAAAAATGGGCACACATGTATTTCTATGGACTAGCGGATGTAAACAGATGATCATCTGTTTACTTCCGTTAATGTCCGCATCCATTTTTTTGAAGGAAAAAAAAACGTAATGGAAGAAAAACTGATGTAAACAGACGAAAAACAGTTATACACGGACAGAAATGGATGTAAACAGATGTAAACAGACCAAAAAACGGATGTAAATGGATGGAAAATGGATGTAAATGGACGAAAATTGATGTAAATCGACAAAAACAGATGTAAACTGATGAAAAAAAAATGTAAACTGATGAAATACTAATGTGAACGGGTCCGTTTTTTCTCAAATATATAAAGGCCTGTACACTAATTAACAAGGGGTGGCTGACAGGTAAAATGTGGACTTAGGGATGGAAGCTTTATCCCACCCAAAGCACTAGAAAGCCTCCCAGCTCAGGACCCAGACCCAAACTTATTAAAATGTGAGAAAATACAAAGTTTAGTTTTCTCCATAGCAGATACAAATCCTGGTGCCCCTCTCCATACGTAGATGAGAAACCTAGGGGACATGTGTACACCATCCACATCCCTGTCAGCCAGTGCTTCACAATGTGTGTAAAATACTTTCATTGAACAAAAATTGACCAGATAGATGGGAAATTTTTGTCTGCTTGCCAACAAAGTAAATCTATACAAATATTTATTTTTATTTTGGATAGAGTAGGGATTGGTTAAAAAGTTATTTTGCCCTCTTTGTTCCCTTAGGGAGATTTACCTTCATTTCCTGTCCTGTAGTGAAAACAAAGACAACAATAAAAACCTCACAGGGACTCTAATCCTTCCCCCATACCATTCAGAACCAAAAAAACGATGAGTTCAGATAAATTTTATTACTCTAAAGCCAAATCCTGTCAACCCAAATACTCTGACACAGGGATTGTAACACTGTAAAAAGCCAGGAGCAGATTCTCCTGGGAGAATTTATTATTTGCACCTACAGTCCTGGCAAAAATATGTTGTATAGTAGTTGTCAACAGAGGATATTGTGAACTCACCTGCCAGAGGTCTAAGCCAATAACTCCAAGTTCATCATATCTGTATATTGTGTCATCTGGAACATAATCTGGATTGTCCATGTCTGGCTGAACCCACACCCCTTGGTAGTTTGGATTATCTATTATTTTCGGTACCCAAATTCCCTGTGCATTGAGATAAGAAACATAAATAAATGACTCAGATTATATGATTGGTATATGATTGGTGTAATACAGGGCCTTTTTTTCTTAGAAAATGGGTGCAGGAACTCTCCCCTTTCTGAATCACTTCTTGTCTCCGCTTCCTACCCATCTGTAAGCACAGTCCCTTGGTTCGATCCCCTACCAACCTCCCAATACAGATCCTTATAGAGAATACAGAGCCAATTATTATTTTGTGGTGCAACTAATTTGTATGGAAGGTGTTAATGATAACAATAAAAACAGTAAAATAGATCCCCTGCAGCCAGCAGCAATAGACCCCCCTCCAGCAACAATAGACCCTGGCAAGAAAATACCACCCACCAACAAAAACCCCCCCAACAGCAACAACAGATTCCCCAGCAGCCAGCATCAATAGACTCCCCAGCAGCAAAAAAACAATAGACCCCTCCTTCAACAGTAGATCCCTTCCAGCAACAAAAGATCCCCCACTAGCAACAACAAACATCCCCAGCAACAATAGACCACCATGCAAAAATAGATCTCCTGCAGTAACAATAGATCCCCCAGCAGCCAGCATCACTAGATCTTCCAGCACCCCAGAACACTTTGCCATTACATACATTCAGTGCTGGAGGTGCCGAAACTGTATTCCCCCCACGTTCCTGCTGAAAAAAAGCCCTGGTGTAATATATTTTGATATCTCTTGTATATATTAGCCTGTTTTCTAGCTTTGTTGAAACCTGGACCCACCAACTGAGATTAGAACATTTCTGTCTCAACGTATACATGAGCATCAGAGGGTTCTGTCAGCTTTTTACTGAAATGAACAAAGGCTGGACTTCTAAGATTTGTGGAGGCATTTATGGTGATACTGTGATGGGATTACAATAAAGAGGATTGTAGGCTTTTGCCTTGGGGCCAAACACAACCAGCTATTTTCATGGCAGGGACAAATTTTTGTGGGCTAAACAAAGTGTACTATAGAAAGCATGCCATGGTGCGCATTGATGGGTAGTCATGGTGGGTGTTCATAAAGGGCACGGTTTATTGTGGCACACAGCATCAGCTTCCTATGTGGCTGGCAGCATTTGGTCACAGGGGAAATTTATGCTGGAAGATTTGCCCCTGCAAGACGCTGTGATCGAAGGTCTGAACATGGAGCAAGAAGCTATGTAATACCCAACAAGTGTTTTTGACTGCAGGTCCCTCACTGATCTGACTATCCCAACATACAGTATCTTAATAATACTAGCTCATTGGGTGAGTGTCCCCCCCTTCCCCCTGGCTCAGTCCTCCCCGGGATATATCTCTTCCCTCTATCCTAGCAGATGCAAAACATCTAAAAAGATAAGTCAAGAATGAAAATTAAAGCACAATTGTGGCCAATAGATGAAAGCAATCAGTGAGCTCAATGCCATCAAGTAAATGCTGCAGTTATGTTAAAATCAGAATGTTCACTTGGGCTACCTTAATGAGAGAATACAAAAACACAGTGGGGAGGATGCCTTCATCCACATCATTTGTGTGGATACGGAAATCTGCTTTTTTTTTTAACCAGCCTGCTGGCTGATTGAGAAAAGTTGACCCATGTATACCCACATGGGTCAACTTTTCTCAATCAGCCAGCAGGCTGGTTAAAAAAAAAAGCAGATTTCCGTATCCACACAAACGATGTGGATGAAGGCATCCTCCCCACTGTGTTTTTGTATTCTCTCAGTGGGGACTCCTTCACTGTCAGAATACACAGATCAGCACTGTAGCCGGTTGGCTGCAGTGCTGATCAAAGGAAAACTTTTCAACAAGCTGGTTTTATAGAGTACTGTTTCTGTAACTTTTAAAATAGAATGTTTTTGGGGGTTTTTTGGAGTTGATTTACTAGCAGGCCCTGTATAGAAGTTACATGATCTGTGTACTTTGTAATTTGGATTGTGAATCATTGGTGGTTCCCATTGCCCATCCATGGCAGAGTCCCAGTCATGTGGTTCCTTTGCTTCTGGATCTGCAATTAGCTCTCTCTCATCCCAGTCCTGCAAAACATAAACAGAAAATACAAAGTCTTACAGTGATGTAATGTATACTGTACATATTATGAGCTTTCTAAATTTTATATACTACAGTAAAGCTGGCTATACATTAGTAGAACTTAGCTAAGAAAATTTGAAGAAGCAGGATGGAATTTTTTTTTTCATACACATTTCTAGCAGTGTATGTGATTTTCACTCTGTTAAGTCCATTTGCTCCAAAACCGAATGTTAACAGCAAATTAAATTTAAAAGTGCTTTTGAAAGACATTCATCAAGTCATCAAAAGTGTTAAGAATTTTCATACATGTTTTCAAACAATTGTTTGTACAAATGTAGGTCCAAAAATCCACTAGTTTATGACAAGTTTTATGCTATGTATGCTTTTTACAAGGGTGTAAACAAACTAAAATAAAAAAGTAAGAAATACCTGTGCCAATCGGATGACTTTGTGTTCACAATGCAGGAGAGCAGCCGCTTGGCACAGAACGTGGAAGCAAGTGGAGATCACTGGAGTAGAGGTGTCTACTTCAATGATTTCCAGCTTCCAGCCAGGTAAGTCATATACTGTACATAGTTTTATTGGTCCAGGCTAGATAGGTAGGTGCAGAGTGATGCAGCATCAGTAAAGACACAAAGTCCGGTTGCAGATGAAACTCAGAACTTGTATTGCAGAAATTGCCAACTCCAAAACAACCCCAGTGGGAGATCACTGCTTAGAGTAACACTCACAGTGAGTTCAGAGAGGCAGTGGGTAAAGACTCACCAACAGCATCTTTCTTCAGAGGGTGGAATGCTGCCTGGATGGTTTGGTCCCAAAGGGGAGACTACTGTGCAGGACTGTGAGTCCATAGCCTGTCCCTACTTGTCTGGAACCTTTCCCTGCTGCTCTAATTTTCCCCGAACGGACGAGGCGGTCTCCAAGGCAGGCGGTCATGGCTGTGCGGGGTTGGTAAGCTGTGTTCTTTGCCCAGTTCGGATCTAATTTTTCCTCGTTATTCTTTCTGTATCTTTCCCTGGCGCTAGTGGGTGCCTGGAGAGCAATGCTACGCTCCAGGCCTCTGCTTCCTGGACCAGGGCGGTCTCTGGTACACTGTGCATGCACGAGTTGGCCTTGGAACGAGACTTGGCTTTGTGAGTGCACAGCCCGGCGCATGTGCAGTACAGCGGCAGTGAAGACATAGCTTTGGTGGAAAATTTAAACAGCTGTCAAGGCTGTTTTCATTGGGAAATCCTGCGGACTGAATGCGGCAGCATCCCCAAGCGCTGTGGTCCACTGTGAAAGTCAGTACCTTCTCCCTCTTGTCCCCCCCCCGGTGGTCTGCTGGGATTCTGCATGTCATGGGGTTTTTTTAGTCTCCGCCTCCTTGTGGCCAACCCCTGCACAGTAGGTACGGATGGGCGGCTTTATCCCCTTGATCCCCCACTGGCACTTTTTGGTGGCATTTAACTGTCCCCTGTTCTGTGTCTTTTTCTTTCTCTCTCTCAGCCCTTCTAGGTCTGATTGCTACTATATGGCATATGATGATGGAAGTGCTTCCAGGTCTCGAAGCCATCACTCGTCCTCTAAATCCGGATGCCACAGGTCTCCTTCCAGCTCCTAGGAGAATCTCTCGTTCCTACGCTGAGGTTGGCATCTGCCTTTCTGGGGGAGGCCTCGATTGACCTTACCTGTCTGCTGGCTCAGGTTATGCTGTCCTCAGTGACAGCCAAGCATGCATTGTGGCTTCTGCCCTGGTTGGTCTATCTGGCCTTTAAGCAGGAATGGTGCAAGATCCCCTTTGAGGGTTCTTCCCTGTTTAGGAACAAATTGGACAGCGCTATAGCCTGGGCTACAGGCGGGAGGTCCGAAGAGGGGTCAGCCCAGAAATCAAGGCTTGGAACCAACCAGGGACGCGTGCCTCTACAAGCTGAGCCATGAATTCAAGAGAAGCTGAAAAAGAAGCTGGTCATCTTTTCAGATATCCTCCAAGGGCTCGACCTCTGGAGGTCACGAGGCCACAAAATTCTTTTGAGATTGGGCTCGCTCAGGCAGGCCAGATGGGGGCATGCCTTCGCCACTTTTGGCATGTCTGGGCGGCTTCAATCTGGGATGCCTGGACCATCAGCACGGTATCTTTAGGGCATACTTGGGCGTTCAAGAGCCCTCTTCATCTCAAGTTCACCCCTACAGCCCTTCCACATTCCAAAGAAAGGAGGGAAATCCTGCTGTCCTACATGGACTCTCTGCAGGCACAGAGTGCTGTCATGCCAGTTTCCAGAGGAGAATTTCAGGGCATGTACTTGCCCCTCTTTTTGGTCCAGAAGAGAAATGGGGCCTGGAGGCTGGTTATAGATCTCACCCATCTAAACTCCTTTATCAAGAAATCAAAATTCAAGATGGAGATGCTGTTCACAATTTAACAAGCAATTCAACCAGGCGAGTGGCTCCTGTCTATAGATCTGATGGATGCCTACTTTCTTGTGCCCATTGCAAGAGATTTTCAGAGATTTCTCCAGTTTTCTGTGGACCATCAGCATCTCCAATTCGTGTGTCTCCCCTTTGGGCTTTCATCGTTGCCTCGTGTGTTTTCAAAAGTCTTCTTGGCGGTTGTGGCCCTGATCAGAACCAGAGGCATTCGCCCGCACCACTACAAAGATGACCTGCTCCTACTATCCCAGGACAGAGAACAGCTACTACAGCACAGGGCCCACGTCATCTCGACCCTTCTCGAGTTCCAGTGATTGCTCAATATGGAGAAGAGCCAGTTGGAGCCCACACAGTCTCTAATATTCCTTTGGGCTCAGTTTGAAACAATCGGCATCACCATCTCCCTGCCGTAGAGAAGATTATGGCGATCTGGAGCCAAATACTACCTGCCCTGTCTTCCTCACACCTTCGGGTCCTCCAATGCCTGAAAATCATTGGCACCATGATGTCAACAGCGCCAATGGTGAAGTGGGCACAGCGGAGAATGTGACCCTTCCAGAAGGGCTTTCTTCAACAATAGAATCCAGGCAGCATGGGCCAGGTCATTTACATAGCTCAGTCCATGAAGGAGAGCCTTCCTTGGTGGCTGCAGCGGAAGAACCTGCTCAACTGCCATTCGATTGCCCCATCTGCTGGGTCACAATCACTACGGATGCTAGCAACTCCAGATGGGGTGCTCTCTGCCAGTCAGAGATAGCTCAGGGCAGATGGAGCTTTCGCTCACACAGGTTGGGGTCGAACGTCCTGGAATTACGAGCAGTGCTCTGTGTCCTATGGGCCTTCCAGCACCTAACATAGGGGAAAATCAGTCCTCCTGAGGTACGACAATATGACAGCAGTGTCCTACATAAGGAGACAAGGCGGGACCCACAGACTGTCCTTCTTGCAAGAGGTAGAGCCAATCATGGCTTGGGCTCAGAGAAACCTGTCCAACATTTCGGCAGTATATGTCCCCGGAGTCCAGAACTCACAAGCAGACTTCCTATCCAGGGTTCAATTCAAGAACGTGTGGTCTCTCAACACAGAAGTCTTCAGGTGGATACTGACCCTCGGGATCAGTTCGGAAGTCGACCTGTTTGCCTCCCTGTGCAACAGCAACTTGGGGATGTACTACACTAGGAATCTCTGTCCCCAGGCCTTCGGGGTAGTTGCTGTGACGGATCAGTGGAGGTTTCGCATGACTTATGCATTTCCCCCAGTCCCGGTCATCTTCAGGTTTCTTCAGAGGCTCAGGGCAGAAGTGGAGGAGGTAGTGGATGTAATTCCATACTGGCCGAACAGACCATAGTTTCCCTTACTGGCGCAGCTCAGCTTTCGGGATCCGGTTCTTCTCCCTCTCAAGCCAGACCTGCTGTTGCAGGGGGCCATTCTTCACCCTTGCTCAGCCCAGCTTCATCTAATGGTCTAGTTCATGAGAGGAGTAGGTTGGAGGCCTTAGGCTGTCCTGTTGAAGTCATCCCTACCCTGATGAATGCCAGAAGCCCAAGTACCAACAGGGTCTATGGAAGAGTCTGGTCTAAGTTCGTGGACTATATCTCGACCGTAGGTGGATCCTTTATTAATCCGAGGGTTCAGGATGTCCTGGGATTCCTGCAGTCAGGCCCGGACCTGCCCCTCTTGGTCAGCACCCTCAGGGTTCAAGTGTCAGCCATCTCGGCTTTCACTGGAGAATTATGGGCCAACCACTCTCTGGTTCGGCAATTCTTCAAAGGGGCAGTAAGGTTGAGGCCCCAGAGAAAACCGAGGTTCCCAAAATGGGACATTCCGCTTGTCCTTGACTTCTTCTCTGGAGGCGTTCCAGAATCAGCTGGGCCACCCATAGTGAGGGAGCTCTCCATCAAGGCGGCCTTTCTGGTGGCGGTTACATCGGCAAAAAGATTCTCCGAAATCGAGAACCTTAGCTGTAAAGAATAGTTTTTTACATTCTTCCTGGAGCGAGTGGTGCTTATCCCTATGCTAGGTTCTAATCCTAAAGTGACCTCTGTCTTCCACAATCACATTCACCCCCTGGACGTAGGTGAGACCTTAAGGCTATACTTGCGGGTCACAGCATCCTTCCGTAAGTCGGACCAACTATTCATCCTTTTCCATGGGAAGAGTAAAGTAGCCCAGGCGTCTACCAGGTCAATCGTGGCCTGGATCGTCCAGGCCATCCAAATGACCTACAGAGCTAAGGGCTTGGTGCCTCCAGAGGCGGTGACTACACACTCAACCAGAAGTGTGGCTATGTCCTGGGCGTCTTCCCGGCATGCCGCCCCTGATATGATCTGCAAAGCAGCCTCATGGTCCTCAATCAACACTTTTATGGCTCATTACTGTGTAGCGCCTGTCTCCTTATCCTCTGTTAATTTTGATTTGAAAGTTCTGTCAGTTGATGAGGCAAATTAAAGTATTTGTTTGAGTAACTGCCCACCCATGTGTGTATGGCTAGTTATTTCCCATTTGTATGCTGCCATGGAGTCTGTCAGGAAAACGGAAAATTTCCTGTCCAATACTTACCGTAATTTTCCTTTCCTGATGGACTTCATGGCAGCAGAAGTACCCTCCCAATGCCATGAGTAGACTAGTTATGGAACTGGCGAGGAGCAAAGATTTATGGGAGTGGGGTCCTATAGGAAAGGAGGGGATGGGACTAACCCATACATATGTTGCCATGGAGTCCATCAGGAAAGGAAAATTATGGTAAGAATTTGATAGAAAATTTTCTGTTTTAATGCTATTCCTGTTCTACTTACGACATTTGTTTATGGTTTGAAATTTTTGTATGATTTTGTTATCGTGTGTGCGGGCCATTACTCAGTCCAAAGTGAAAAACAAATTTTGCCTTTAGTTTTGCTTTAACTCTCTTCTGACAATGTACTTTTCAGCTGGAACAAAAACACCTTTTATAATAATATATTGTACAGTGCATTCCCAGAGAGTTCTATTAGGTGCAAACATATCTAAACACTCAAAAAAACCTCAAAGCTACTTTTTTAAAATATGTGATTTTTTTTTTGTTTTGTGTCTATTGCATTAAATCAATCAATCTCTCTCTCTCTCTCCCTCTCAAAATTTCCACTGTAGCTAATTGTTTGAAATACTGCACATTATTCTAACAATGGCATAAAACTACATTAGGCAGTTAATAGCACATTTCTGCTAATTATGTAAATTGGATGTTGTGCTGACACTGTCCTCAGCAAATCTCCATACACTGCTAATTTCAGCTGCAGTATAATGTAAAAATGCTTACAGTGGGGAGAATCCTTTCCAGAATAGAACAGTCAATAGCTAATTAAAATTAAGCTGTCAGACACTTTGATGATGTAAAAGTAAAAGTTTTGTCTAAAATCAAGTTAAACAAGATGACTGCTCTTACTTTCATTAAAGCCAGAAAACTGTGTTTTGTGCATTCCTCTGAAACTGAATTCACTGTACACCATTCACATCTGAGCGTTTTTGTAGCTCTAAGCTCCCAAACTCTCAACATCCTAAATCCCATGTATTTTAATGGTGGCAGTCTTTAGCACTGTCAGGAAACATTAGCCCGTGTCAAGCTTTAATATGGGTCTCCTGGTGCATTCTGTTCTGATTTTATTACCATTAAAGTGTTACTAAGCCCACAACAGTAAAATCAGTCTGTATATGCAGTAAAGCATGCTTGTTATACTCACTGTGGAACCTAAGGGGTTAAACCTCCACATTGTGTAAAAAGGCCATTTGATCCTGTCTTCTCTGCCCCTCCTCTTGTTCAAATGTCCACCTGATAAGACAGACTGAACCTGTAGCCACATGCACATGCTCAGTTTGGTGTATATTCCTAGAGAGGTTTTTTTTTTTTTTCTTGGGAGAGTTCATGTGATCAGCATGGGCCAATCAGCACTGTCCAGACAGAGGATCAGGGGTTTTGTCTCCTCCTAGAGCAGAAATAAAACTCCTCCTACAAGTTTCTACCAGTGCTCTGCTGAAGTCACAAGACTGCTCTAACTGTTGATAAGAAAAGGTATTTGGCAGTTTACTAAAATAATTGCATTTCCATGTTGTGTGTACTGTGGGAGACCAGATATAGTGAATGCAGGGACCTGGGTTTAGTAACACTTTAACTACTCAAGTCCTGAATAAAGGGGAGGGTTTTTCCCTCAAAACGCATTGGACGTACTTGATGCTCTTAATTGTTAAAAAGTGAGATGAACTTTTGTATAAGGTACTCCTCAGTACACATCCATGAATTTACCATCTGGGGAGCGCTTACTTTGCTCCTATCAGAGAGGTAACAGCCTAGGACCAGAACAGGGTCCACCTGTACTATATTGCAACCATAGATCTGAAGAAAAATTCACTTTACAGTAGATTCATCAAAGCCAACTTCCACTTTTATCTGTCCAGTGCTATCACACATACATCAGGCTCTTCGTCAATTGTGACCTTCCATGGTGCGAACCCATGTATCACATGCCTAGTTCAGTCCCCATGTGCTATTAAGCTGCATTGCATCCTCCACCTGTCCCCTCCCTGGCAGAGCATTCTCAGTGAGAGAGAAATGTGGCTGGAGTAAAATGGGCAATGGATGTTCTTTTGTATTTACCATGGGTGCTTAGCCTACAGCTATTCACACTGATCACAATTTAGCCAGACCAGCAGAGACCCATTGGCTGAACGAGAAGAAAACTAAATGTGTATGCCAGTTTAAGGTTGGCCATACACTATACAATTTTCTTAAGATTTACCAAAAACCATATACTGTAATATGAGGTCAAACCTAAACAACACTTTCAGTTGTATCCAATTAGGCAGGCCCTTGCACTACATAGTTGAAGGTAAATCTAAAGGAAATTGGGCAGAAATTGGACAGAAATTTGTAATAAAGTAAGAAAATGATATAGTGTATGGCCAGCCTTAGTGACACCAAACTTTATAACAGCCAAACCTCTTTACTATACTATGGTAATATGCATATATTAAAAGGCAGGAATTATGACATTTGTAAACCCAAGTGCTAAAATCTTACAGAATCCCTAACATGTTATTTCAAAAGTCACTTTCTGAATGTGAAAATCTCTTGCATCCATTGAAATAATATATGTTGATCCTGCCATGAAAATCCTTGATCAGGCACTTCCTCCTAAAGGATGACAATGCTCTGTTCCTATTCCCAATTGTGCTTCAATGTTGTCACCCTGTCACATTGGCTTTCAGGGGAGAATACAAGTTGCCATTTCATTACACAGGCATGGTCCACTGTTGTCACCAGCAGGAAGCTGCCCTGAGGAATGCCATGCAATTATTACTCAAACACAGAGCTTTCGCACAATAACTGTCAATCAGTTATGGTTTACAACCACTTTACATTCCAGTTATGTGTCCATAAATAATACCGCTAGTATACCTGCCTGAAATACATCTTTATATAATTTTTCCAGAATACCTATAATACACTAGGAGCTATAATTGCTTTTATTCACGCAACCAAAAATACTTTTAAGCTCCTTTCGCACGGGCGGTCAGGAGGTAGCAAAACCAGGCAGTTGGGCCATGTTTTTACCGCTCACCTAGAAGTGGACAAGGTGCTGCTTAGATGGGTACACATTGCTGTGGTCACGATGCTTTGCATTGAGATTTGGCAATTTTAATGTGACATGCAGAGTTTGGCAGGTGGCACCACCAGTGTGAAATTAGCTTTGGACATGGATACAAGGAGTGCTTAGTAAATTTACAGGAGGAGAAGATCACAGGTTGGAAATAAAGATGATGCTCATAATGGTGAAGTGAGCAAACAGGAAAATGCTAAGGTGCTATATGCAGCTTAGCTGGACAGTGACACCAGTATATGAATGATAAAACCGGCTGCACAAAATCACAAAACATCCGTTACTAGAAAGAGAAGGCAGTTTTATGTTTTCTCTATTCTGCTTCGAAGCATAAGTTGTGCTGCAGAATGATAGTAAATTTCGACAGGACAGTGAATATAGTAATTTTGCTAATGGATTTCCCCTTACAGTCATTAGTACAGTGACTCCTTATAGCTTACATCTGGCCTTAGCTCATTGGGGTCCTCAATCCGCTGTCGATCATCCCAATCCGCAGGCTTTTTAGCATTCACGTCTATGATTTTATGGGGCAGTAGGAAGCCAAAGTCATCCTCTAGAGTCCCATGTTGTACCACCTCATTGTCAATCTTCACTGCATATGTATTATTTGGACGGATAATTAGTGTGTACAAGTGGGTGCTTTCATCATGCTGTGCAGAAGAAAGAAATAGCACTAAAATCAAAAATAATGCATTTTTATTAGGCTTATGGTTTTTAGTTTTGAACAGTGGAGAAGGACTAGAACCTCTGTCAGTTTTTTTATTGCTGTCCATGTCCCCACTGGGGAAATTAATTCTCCCTACTTGTCCTGGTGATAAATAGTGATGGGGTATCCAAATTTTACAATTGTTATCAGAAATGGAAGAGAGTGGAAATTTTGCAATGTGGGCACCTGTTTTGGTTTTGAACAGTGGAGAAGGACTAGAACCTCTGTCAGTTTTTTTTTTTTATTGCTGTCCATGTCCCCACTGGGGAAATTAATTCTCCCTATTTGTCCTGGTGATAAATAGTGATGGGGTATCCAAATTTTACAATTGTTATCAGAAATGGAAGAGAGTGGAAATTTTGCAATGTGGGCACCTGTTTTGGTGACAACTGTTTAGGGAAGATTTCCTTTTGCTTCCTGCTGTGTCTTTGGGACAGAAAGTGAAGGGACATCTCCACTGGCACAAAGACAGCCCAAAAAAACCTGACACGGTTTTATCTCTACCCCATTCTCTACCCCAGCCTGTCCCAACCTTTTCACCCTTGAGAAACCTCTGTAACAATTTCAGGTCTCAGGAAACCCCTGCTAAAATCACTTCATTGGGGGTCAGTGGGTAAATGTCCCCTCCCTTAGACTGTAGTCAGAATGCCACCATTACTGATAGCTAAAATTATAATTGGTGTCAAGCTTCTGAAGTTACCAAGTGGCATTAGCTCTGGAAGTATGCAGGCACCATCCAGTAGAAGGTCAACCAGCCACAGCTCAATGAACACTTAGCAACCTTTGGAGGAACCCTAGGGTTCCATACAACCTTGAGTGAGAATGGCTGCTCTACCCAGTCCTAGACTTCACACGATTTTGGCTTTAGATAAACGTGAAATGACACACGTCATGGTGTGCAAGTAATTAACTAGCTCCAAAATAAAAAATGACTTATGTGCTAATGCACCCAGACTACCTCAAATCATAGGGCCTTCTGTTTTTCAGGTTCTGGTTGCAATTCTTGGTTATTTCATACATGAGGTTCTAAACTTTCCGAGCAGTCAAACACTGGCCTACTGACATACAGTACCTCACATTAGAGTTCCATACCTTGGCAGTAACATTCTTCTTAATTAAATGATGTTTCTCCTTATAATTCAGAATAATATGGACCTTCTCGTGGATTGTACCACATATGTCAGGACCTGAAAAATGTGACAATAGAAAGTATGAATCAGTTGTCATACTACCTATATATTTATTTATTACAGGTATTTATATAGCATTGACAATTCACTTAAAAAAAATATATTTATATATATATATTATTTATACACATAATCAAAAGGAACTCTTCTTCCGCTCCATCACGTTTGAATATCTGGTGTGAAAACAAATGTGCAAAGACTTTGCCCCATCTTTGGGTTTCTTGCTTATTTGTTGCATTTATTTTTAATATTAAATAATAAAGATTTCCTGCTTAGGTGCACACATTCTAAAACTGGAGCTTAACATCTGCATGCATGCGTGGGAAACCCCCTGCATGCATGCAGATGCACTGAATGACACTACCAAGTCCCAAAGACCTGCAATGCATTGGCTCACATGCGGAATCCTGTAGCACTCATGTACCCATCAGCAAAACTGCCTCCTGGGATGTGTTACATAGACGTTTCAGGTGGCAGCAGTGGCAGCTATGTTATCTTTGCCTAGGCGAGAAAGAAGGAAGTGCTGCAGTACGGCACAAAAAAACGCAAACTGCATTAAAAAAATTAAGTAATAAGCTCCACTTGATAGAAAGGGAGGGGATGGAGCCAGAAGGAGGACAGTTATTCCAATGATTTCCTTTAACAGAAAAATTGAATAAAGTACATCCTTTCGGAGCGCAAGTATCCTGGTAAAGCCTGCAAGAATCTGTGTTAGTTTTTACTTTAATTTCTATGTTTAGTTGGACCTCCTTGAATCCTAGGTTCAGGGGACTTTCTCCAAGTTGAGAATAAACCTTGCCCCTTCCTGGTGTTAAGACCCACCCCTGCTTTTCAACCATCAAATACCATGAGCCTCAGTAGGCAGTAGAGGTTCTGGCATATGAAAATCAGATATCAGGAGTTATGGCTTAGCACCAAGATAAAATGTTGCTTAATCCTGATAGACTTTGTCAGAAACTTGGGCCCTGGAACCCAAGGGCCTTGCAAGGACACAGAGGTCAGTTTGAAGACTAATAAAGGCGCTAGCAGGCACTGTAAGGTGCTGGCATTTCTGCACTGTTGTTACCATTTTGTTACTTTTTAGGCCATGCCAAAGTTCACTTTACAATGGACAGACAAATGTAAAACAGATTTGAATAATCTTTATGATCATTTGGTCATGTAAGGTTAACAGCATAATGATACTAAGAATTTTCAAGCATCATCAATTTTTTCTTCCATTTCTTTCTAAACCAATCACCAGTCATTACCTTTTTTTATGGAAAAGAATGAACATGTCACCATTCATGAACCACATCATTTGATTAGCAATGAACAGATTTGTCACAACCTGTTTCTGAGGAATGTGCATGACTATCAGGGGCGGACTGACAACTCATGGGGCCCCCGGGCAATAGGGGATCATGGGGCCCCTGTGTCCTTGCCCAAACTCAAAAAAGCCTATGAAAAAGGTACCAGGGGTATCTCATGGGGCCCCCTACTGACCCCGGGCCCTTGGGCAGTGCCAGAGTTTCCAAATGGTCAGTCCGCCCCTGATGACTATGACCACTTTTTGGCTTATGTCACAACCACAACTCTATCACGGGTAGCTTCATTTTGAAACATATTTTGTCCATAAAGGAGCTACTCACCAAACATAATACAATATAAAGAGTCCCCATTTATCTGCTCTTGGTCTGTGTCTGCAGGATATATCTTCACGTAGCCTCCTCCGCAATCAATTTCTTGCTCATGTTTAACAGTGAACTGTATCACCAAACTCTGGTTCTCATTGCTGATGGGCTCAAACTGGGCTGACAAAGCATAGTACTTCCAATCTTGAGTGGTCTGTATACCTGGCAGCAATTGTATTCAAAGGATGCACTTTTTACTTATGTTATAAAGTGTTTTTTTCAGGTAAAGACAAATAATACTAATTATTGATACAATTATTTTCACATATTTACCTGTACTAAGAAAAAAAATTACTAGATAAGGCCTCATTCAAAGAGCATAGGGCCCTTTCACAATAGAATGCAGTGCAGGAATGCTGTGTTCCCATGCAGTTTCCAGCACCAAATTCCAGTTGCATTGCCCCTGCAATCTGCTGTGGGTGCAAGTGCAAAGTTAAACACAACCTAAATGCAGAACGCAAATGCAGTGCGTTTGCCCGCACCAGATTGCATGGTACATGGACTACATTTGGTGTGGTGTGGTGCTGTGTGGTTTTAAAATGAATTGGCTGAAATAGCACTGCACAGAACTGCATGTGAATTTCACAGGAACCACTCAGCGTTCCTTTGCGATTCACATGCAGTTCTTACTGTGAAAGGGCCATCAACCATGGTGCAGCAAGTATCTTGCAGAAAGCTGCAATCAGGATACCAAGTGTTTTCAGACAGCTGCAGCCAAGAAGCCTGCACAAAGAAATTACAGGCTAACAGGGGTTGCATATATCTGCTGGTGTTTGCATGTAACCACATATGGAGCAAATACCTGCGGTTAAGAATAGATGATTGTGCCTGGATGCAAGTAGCTAGTCCCAGGGACAACTGTGGCCACTGTAAGCCTGTCCTTGCTGTGTACAGGCTTTCTGACAACAACTGTTCACATACACTATATTGCCAAAAGTATTGGGACACCCCTCCAAATCACTGGATTCAGGGGTTCCTATCACCTCCATGGCCACAGGTGTATAAAATCAAGCACCTATGTATGCAGACTGCTTCCACAGAAATTTGTTAAAGAATATGTCACTCTCAGGAGCTCAATGAATTCAAGCATGGCACTATGATAGGTTGCCACCTGTGCAACAAGTCCATCTGTGGAATTCCCTTGCTACTAAATATTCCACCGTCAACTGTTAGTGGTATTGTATCAAAGTGGAAGCAGCTGGGAACAACAGCAACTCAGCCATGAAGTGGTAGGTCACGTAAAGTGACAGAGCGGGGTCAGCACATGCTCAAGTGCACAGTGAGCAGAAGTCGCCAAATGTCTGCAGAGTCAATAGCTAAAGATCTCCAAACTTCATGTGGCCTTCAGATTAGCACAACAACAGAGCATAGAGAGTTTCATGGAATGGGTTTCCATGGCTGAGCAGCTGCATCCAAGCCTTACATTATCAAGTGCAATGCAAAGCGTTGGATGCAGTGGTGTAAAGCACGCCGCCACTGGACTCTAGAGCAGTGGAGACATGTTCTCTGGAGTGACCAATCATGCTTCTCTGGCAATCCAATGAAAGTGTCTGAATTTTGTAGCTGCCAGGAGAATGGTACTTGTCTGACTGTATTGTGCCAAGTGTAAAGTTTGGTAGAGGGGTATTATGGTGTGTGGTTGTTTTTCAGGGGTTGGGCTTGGCCCCTTAGTTCCAGTGAAAGGAACTCTTAAGGTGTCAGCATACCAAGACATTTTGGACAATTTCATGCACCCAACTTTGTGGGAACAGTTTGGGGATCGCCCCTTCCTGTTCCAACATGACTGCACACCAGTGCACAAAGCAAGGTCCATAAAGATATGGATGAGCGAATTTGTGGTGGAGGAACTTGACTGGCCTGCACAGAGTCCTGACCTCAACCTGAGGCCTGGAATTATTTCTCTCACGCCAACCTTTGTAGCAATACATCACATGTGTGGCACAGTCATTGTTATCATACATAGGTAGACTGGCCACCAACATTTATGCTAATATGTGTGTGAGTGGGGGCAGGTGACTTTAAAAGTTTTTTGTGTTTTATTTATTATATGTTACTTTATTTTGTTTTACTTAGCTTTATAGCTACCTCCTATGTGATAGCAAACTGTAATGACAGGTTCTCCTTACTAAGATATGAGAGGTTCCATATGTAACAACCTCCTAGGGAAGCTAGGGGGAGCTAGTTGGTTATTTTTAGTTACAGGCTGATTAGCAGCCTGGTTGAATAGCCAGAGGGGGTCAAATTGTGGTCAGGGCTTGTAGGCTCTGCAGACCAGCTCTCTGGAACTTCTCCCTGACAATACTTGGAGAAATCTCTATAATTCAGCGCGTGGGGGTGAGGAGCGGCTGATCTGTAATCTTAGGGGATCGTGGCCAATGCCAAGCAGGAGACTTGGCATGGGGTCAAGATAGCCCTTAAGAGTGACCTAGCCTGCTCAGCAGCAGGAGAGTTCTGGTGGAAGATGGATTGAGCAGGATGGTGTGAGGAGCCTGGGAGGGAGTCCAGGAGAGGGGCCTACCTACAGGCAGAGGAGCCAGCCCAGCGTAAGGCCTGAAGGCAACCACCAACCCGCAAGCTTGCAGAGAGAGACTGAGTGGGTAACCACCCACCCCCTGGGCCGCATAAGGGCATCCAGGTGGGAAAGCTGACTAGCTCCCATCTGGGACTGCTCTCATTTAAAATGGCAGCTTTTGGGGCCTCTTGGCCAGGGATTTGCTCGGGCATCTGGGTGAAGAGATTTCATCTGGGGTCTGAGGAGGTACACAAGGAGAGGCTGGCTAGCTCTCCCATAAATGAAGAGAAAACCCTTTCTGACTACTTATACATACTTCCAGAAAGTTGTCCTCAGTTTTACAGTTCCTTGGGCATCCCATGTACTCCTCATCCCCATCCAAGTTTCAATCCCCTAATAAAATCCCAAAAAACAAGTTCAAGGACTGTTTACTGTCTACTGTGTGCAAGATCTGAAGGAAAAGTATGTTGCCTGGCTGTGCAGGACTATAGGGGGACCCAATCTTTAGCGACTCCTAAGGAGGTAGTGCTACAAAAACAAAAATGGGGTGTGTCATCATCACTAGGAGGGCAGGAAGGTCCAGACACCAATAAAAGAAAATCTCTAAATCTTCCTCACTGTCCTAAAATTTTATTTTTGTCTGTCTCAACATCTGAGAGATTTACTATTACTTGAAGGAAAATCTCCCTAATAGAGACTGCAGTACTAGCCTCAAAAAGGCCCTACCCCTTTCTTACTCTATCCAAAACAAAATAAAAAATTTTGGGTGGAGTTGAGGTTTAATATAGAGACAAACATTAAAATATCCTGAATGATATCACATTAATAAAGTGAAGGCCAAAGTATGTGATCCAACCCAACCAATCAGGAATAATTCTTCACAGCCAACTATAAAATAACATCTGACTGATTCCTGTGGATTCATTCCCTATACACATCTTCACTGATCCTTGAGTTCAATATTTGTCAGGTTAACCTTACCTTTATCCATTTCGGGGTCACCCCAGAATTTGCCAGCACTCAGTTGCCACTTGCCATAATCAGATTTATTTTTGGATTCAACCCACCTTTTCTGCCACTCATCTGAAAAGAACACATACATAGCCTACATGAAACTGAAGGGTTTAGAGCAGAGCCAACATATAACAGTCTAGAAATGCGTGGTTTACCATCAGAACTTCAACTTGCTGGTCTAAAGCAAAATTAATGATTATATATGAGCAAAGTTTTGGTGCCAGTGAAGGGAACTCCTTCATCAGGAGTATTCTCCCAGTTCAGGATACCTATCAATATGTAGTTCGCTACAATTTTCCAGATACATTAAAAAAATAAAAATATTGTTTTCTTGTAACTATAAAGGGGTACCAGGAGAACAAGGGGTTAATTTGTTTTGGATCTGCATGAATGGATTGTCTCCTGGAGGGTTCTGGAGACAGCTTGCAGCCTGTTACTGATTATCGGTGTCAGGGCAGGAGCTGTGGAACGGACAGGTAGGCCTAGTGGCAGGGTCCCGCACTGACTGACGACAACCACCACCCACAGACCGGAGTCCCTCAGGGCGCGGAGTCTAAGTCCCAGGCTGCCCTTCACCAGGGCCCCTGATGGTGAGGATGGACTTGATACAGCCAGGAACCAGGTCGCGGCCCCCGAGACACCCCAGCTGCGGTAATGGGCGCCGCAATGGCGTGTAGCTGGGAGGAATCAGATCAGACAATAGCGTAGTCGGGCAGACCGGGTCGACAACAACGGGACAAACAGTACAGAACAGTAGACAAGAATCACAGGTCACAGGCCGGGTTCAGCAACGGGAGGTCAGATCAAAGGAAAACGCAGAGAATGGTCTAGTCACAAGCCGAGTCAGATTCCAGGAGAGTCACGAGAGTATAGACAGAGCTGTTGCAACACTAAAACACAAGACACGAATGCAAAGGGCACGTGCGGACAACAGGCTTATATGTGCTCAACCACACCCCTCTGGGGGATGGACCGCAGAGGCCTGAAGGCATAAAAGACTCCCACCATGCTCTGCAGAAATCCAAGATGGATGCCAGCACATGGAGCAGCATAACCTCTGGGAAAAGGTAGGACCTTGACAATTGGATAAGTCTTTGGGGAAACAGCTACATGCAACAGGCTTCTCGCCCATCACGGTCTCAAGTTAATGGAGAATTCTGCATTGGTCTGAAGACTTTCTGAAAGTGATCCCTATGTACAGTTGTGTCCAAAATTATTCAACCCCCAATGCTGTAAAGGGGTTTAGGGACTATAGTGTACATTTGGAATTGTATTCAGAATCAAATCCTACAAGGACGTTGTAACTACCCAAATGCAACTAAAATGACATCAATTGTTTATGTAATACAGTAGTAAATGGTTCTTATGTGGTTTCTTCATTGCCACAATTATTCAACCCCTTAAAGACTACCACTCTGAAGAACAGAGGTTCATACAGGTGCTTTCCATCAGGTATTGAAAACACCTGTGGATGTCACCGAGCAGCAATCAAGCATAATAAGCACCAATTAGGCAGCTTTAAAATGACTGTGATACTCAGCTCCTTCTAGACATTTACTGGTGTGGTTACAAACATGGTGAAGGCAAGAGAATGGTCCAGGAAGACAAGAGAAGAGGTGATTTCTCTTCACAGGAAGGGCAATGGCTATAAGAAGATTGCAAAGATGTTAAACATACCAAGAGACACCTTAGGAAGCATCATTCGCAAATTCAAGGCAAAGGGCACTGTTGAAACGCTACCTGGTCGTGGCAGAAAGAAGATGCTGACTTCGACTGCTGTGCGCTACCTGAAGCGTAGAGTGGAGAGAAGTCCCCGTGTGACTGCTGAGGAACTGAGAAAAGATTTGTCAGATGTGGGTACAGAAGTTTCAGCCCAGACAATAAGACGCACACTGCGTAATGAAGGCCTCCGTGCCAGAACTCCCAGGCGTACCCCCTTGCTGTCTCCAAAGAATAAGAAGAGTCGACTGCAGTATGCCAAAAGCCATGTGGACAAACCACAAAAGTTGTGGGATAGTGTTCTGTGGACTGATGAAACAAAATTAGAACTGTTTGGGCCCATGGATCAACGCTATGTTTGGAGGAGGAAGAACAAGGCCTATGATGAAAAGAACACCTTGCCTACTGTGAAGCATGGTGGAGGGTCAATCATGCTTTGGGGCTGTTTTGCTTCTGCAGGTACAGGGAAGCTTCAGCGTGTGCAAGGTACCATGAATTCTCTTCAGTACCAGGAGATATTGGATGGAAACGTGATGCAGTCCGTCACACACCTGAGGCTTGGGAGACGTTGGACCTTTCAACAGGACAATGATCCCAAGCATACCTCCAAGTCCACTAGAGCATGGTTGCAGAGGAAAGGCTGGAACATTTTGGAGTGGCCATCGCAGTCACCAGACTTAAATCCGATTGAGAACCTCTGGTGGGACTTAAAGAAAGCAGTTGCAGTGCGCAAGCCTAAGAATGTGACTGAACTGGAGGCCTTTGCCCATGAAGAATGGGCGAAGATACCCGTAGATCGCTGCAAGACACTTGTGTCAAGCTATGCTTCACGTTTAAAAAAGCTGTTATAACTGTAAAAGGATGCTGTACTAAGTACTAAGATTGAATGTCACTTGGGGGTTGAATAAAACTGATAATGCTGTGAGCACAGAAAAGACATTTGTGGTTATTTCATTATAACTGTTATGTTATATTTGTCTGACCTACAAGTGCCTCTTTAATGTAAATGTAAGCAAGATGACTGAATGATCAAAAGCAATGTCAAACTGGCCAAAACACTCAATTTCAGTGGGGGTTGAATAATTTTGGACACAACTGTATCTCTATCCAATTCTCCACAGTCAAGAGCAGCCATTCTCAGTCAGGGTTCTGTGGAACCCTAGGGATCCTCCAGAGGTTGCTAGGGATTCCTTGAGGTGTGGTTGACTGACCTTCCATCTGATGGTTCCTGGATAGTTCTGGATCCACTGCCACTTGGGAATGCCAGGACACCAATGATTTTTTAGCAAAGGGGGGCATTCTAATCACATTTGTAAGGGGAGTGACCCCCAATGACTTGATTATAGCAGGGGTTCCCCGAGACCTGAACATTTTTTCAAGGATTCCTCTTGGGTAAAAAAGTTGAGAAAGGCTGGTCCAGAGGCAGACTTAAAGGAGAAGTATAGTCAAAGCTTTTGGCTGTACATCTTCTATGGATCACAGGAGTGCAGTTTTTCTGCACTCCTGTGACCAGTTTCTAGTGGACAACGGGTTTTACATCACAGATCTGGTCCAGGCTCTGAAAAAATCCCAACCATATGATCATGGCCAGGATACACCCACAAGACTGGACCAGCAGCTGGCTCAGCCTCTCAGCAAACAGCTGAGAGGCTGAGCCAGCCAATCCCTACCTCCACAGCCCAGCGCTCCAGTGATAGCTGAAGGGGCAGAGCAGAGAGCTGATGGCTAACAGTCACTGCTCTCTGTTCAGGGCGGAGGAGAGAACTGAGCGATCAGCAATGTTTGATTACTCAGTTCTCAGTACAGAACTGGTAAGGGATTGATGCTGCATCCATGTTTAAAAGCCCATACTTCTCTTTTAAAGAAGAAGAATCACTGTAAATTTCTTTACACCTATAACTACTGTATGTACTTTGTCCCATTTTTCTAGGTTCTCTGTAAGACTAGTTTTCATGTCAGACAGGTGGGCCCCCCAAGTAGCGCAGAGCTGCATGAATACAGCTAGCAAGAAGACGGAGGAGATAAGATGCTTTGATAGTCACACTTTTCTCTGACTCCCAGCACTTGCTCGATGCAAACACCGGCAATAGAAATGCAGAGGGAGGTGAGCCTCCTGTCTACTTCCTCTGCATTTCTCTTGACGGTGCTTATCCCAGGCAAGTGCTTACAGCCGGAGGCAAAGGAAGACCAGCACGGCTGTCAAAGCAGCCTCTTTCCTGCTCCATCTCCACGCTAGCTGCAGTGTGACTGGTCTGAAATCGCAGATAGCCTTACAGCCAGGGCAGTGAATAAGGGGGTACCACCAGTCCTCCTGTATGGAGCCCAGGCCAGCAGGGGGGGCCCAGCAGGCAACTAGGTGAATGGGATGTAGGCAGGGAGGGTGTTTAGCACAGCATGGAGGGCAATTACTGCAACAGATCCCCTGTATGGCTCTCTCTACAGCAGCTGACAACCAGTGGAAGGGAAAGGAGAAGCTAGCTTTAAGCTGTGCACCATACGTTTCCCCCTTCTGCCCAAGCCCCCCTGTGTGCCCCCCCCCCCCCCCCCCCATAGTGCTGCTGGCTTCCCTCCTCTCCTTCCCACCGCCAGCTACAAGCACTCAATAGGATCTTTGGAGAGTGGGAGAGGGTCCGGTAAATATGTCACATTTGCCAGTCCTTTCTTTACCTGAATTAACGCAATGAGTGATCAGTACTGATCACTCACTGTGTTCATTCATAACTGAAGCCTAGTAAACAGTCTGTTTTTTTTTGGGGGGGGGGCAGGGCCCTGTCAGGTTGGCTGTATGGGGCCCTGTGGTTTCTAACAGCAGCCCTGCTTACAGCGCACCTAGAAAGTTTGAACTGAGAACATTTGGTACTTTGTGTCATGGGGTAGTGAAAGATGTAACAGAATTTAAAGTGATACTTCATTAAAGTGAATCTTTCAGCCGTTTTATATATTTAAACATAAACGTCCTGCCTAGTAGTGGACACAACAAGGTACCTCCTCTTTTTTTGACTATGAAGGGGCTGTGATTAGGCAGAGATGTCTGCTTGTCAGGGATGAATCAAGCTGTTATTAAAAATATGAAACTAGTTTATAAAGTCAATCAAGGGAGGCTTTTTAGTTAACAAACTTACCAGCGTTTATGTACTTGTAAAGCATATCTAAACCCAAGAACATAAATGAAATATATTGCATCTTACAAGTTCCTAGATGCGGTGGCTCTGTTACTTTTCATTTTACGGACTTTTCATTTTCCTGCTAACGCAACCAACAAGACTACAGGACAGGCAGAGAGCACAATCCGATATAAACTGACAAGATTTCTGGCAGGATCAACAGGTAAACATTTTTACACTTATCAAACAGATATAACAAAAAGTT